TGTAGGAAAAGGGGTAAGAGAGCGGTTTGCAAGGATAGGTAGGTAAGTCGGGGCTTAGCCCGGTGACACAGTAAGCGGAACCAAGCCATGAAGCTTACGGCCGGCTCCGAGTTGTTATAATGGGATCCGGCTAAACGCAAGCCGATTTTAACTCTTCGCCGCAGTACTCGGCCAAGTTCAAGGCCATTGTCTTCTACCACGCTGAAAGTGAACGGTCGACACCCGCAAACCCGTCTAAAATCGTCGTCGGGGGTAACTCTCTCCCCCCTTGGAAAAATCCAACCACCCATCCATTCAACAAGAAATATCCCATAAATATATCTTTTCTCCACCAAATTATAAATAATCGCGCCAAATTATTATTTCACCTTTTCTTTTTTCTCGCCGATGGATTAATTTATATTCCGCTATATATATATATATATCAATTTCTTTTAATTCTCCCCGATGTAACGTACACAACTACGTATCTAATTATGCATCAATACTATTCTCGCTGCTCTGGATAGAAAGTTGAAGTTTCGCAGATCGAAGGAAGGATTACTTGGACCTGAAAAAAATTATTTCGTGTTAATTGTAACGTACGTTATTATCCTGTATTCCTCGTCCCTTTCGTTCGAAGGNTCGCTGCTCTGGATAGAAAGTTGAAGTTTCGCAGATCGAAGGAAGGATTACTTGGACCTGAAAAAAATTATTTCGTGTTAATTGTAACGTACGTTATCCTGTATTCCTTTCGTTCGAAGGATTCGTATATTCGTATATTTCTTTCGCAAAATATATATATATATCATCTTTGCTCGTTTACCAGATATAAAATATATTTGGAGAAAACGCGATAAATCGGATAAATTAAGGGGAGCATCGTGCGAGCGGTTTGGAAAAGTTGGAACAGTTAGCTCGAATCACAATAAAAGATTAAAATCGGCTGTGCAAGTAATTCAACCGTGCACGGGGGTTAAAACTATCCCGTGTATCCTCTTTTGAAGTGAAAGTTGCGAAAGGGTCATCAAAGAAACTCGGTTTAGTACTTAGGTATAACGGCCGATTTGTTATAGCCCGTACATTTGATGAGTTATTACGACGTCAAAAGGTAGGCAGGTACCCGCTCCGTCCAATTAGCCAGGCAGAGGCCTCTGCGCCCGATGCCTTCGGCTGCTTTGGGGTTCTTTGTTCCCCCGAGTTTAGGCCACTTAGAGATACGCCGCCACCCTTCACTACTCTATTAACGACCAACCCGCTATGCATGCGTACCTACAAACGCGCACCGTATCCTCGTACACCTGCGATCCTTTAATGGACCGTAACAGGACTCTATCCACGCGCGAACCTCTCGATCATCCTCCCTATCTCTCTTCCATCGTCCACTCTCTCTCTCTCTCTCACACACACACATACACACACACACACACACTCTCCACGTTCGCAAGTTTGATCGTATCAAAGGGACATTTCGGGATAATAAAACGAACTAATTACTCCTTCTAATAGTTTCGAAAGATGGCCTTTGAAAGATACGCGAGAGGGAGAGAAAGTGGAATAATAGATTTTGCAAACAATTTTATTGATCGTTACGAGTTGATTAATCTATAGGCTCCCGATTTGAAATGATTTTCGATTAACTCTCGATTTGGTAGAGGAAAATTTTTATTTAAAAAACGTAGGGATTCGGAAGGAAATTCGATGTACGAGAAAGATCTAAATAAATGAGTGTAAATTACGTATCGTTCGAGATGTAGGGAACGATTTGAGAAAGAGAGGGGAAATTTTTATCGAAAGGGTGGGGCGCGATAAAAGAGCGAGTTAAATGGTAAACGGCGATGAATATTGGCTTTCCGTTCCCGATATAATCTCTGAGAGAGAGAGAGCGTGAAACGTTATTTGCAGGTGGTAAAGAGTCGTAAATTGGTTACTTTACTTTGTCGGCCGGGCAAATGTTTTTTAATTTCGTGGAAAACAGGATAACATCGGCGAAAGAACGCGTGCGACGTACGCGTGTGTAAGCAAATTGCGCCCGCGATTACGGTGGCCACGAGTCTGTAATTAATATGGCTTTTAATGGGTCGCGATCGATATACGAGCTCGAATAACGGGACGCGGCTCCGTTTTAATGTTAATTAATTTTAAGTGCATTAGCAAAATTACAACCCCGAGGCGCGGAGAACTTGGCAACATCAATGTGATTAATAGGAGGCAGAATCGCGATCTGAAAGCGCGCGATGGAAGAGTATGATTGGCTCGTGATGCGTTCTCTTGTCTCTCGAAATGTGTGGCGAAAGTTTTACGAAAATTTTAAAATAAATCATTCCTTCGTATTAATATAAATTCAGATTTATTAATGATTTCGTTCGATAAATAGTTGGCGGGTTGAAAAAAAGAGAAAACAAATTTAATCGATAATATCGATGTTATCTCGTATTCCTTCTAGTCACGTACGATTTTTACGTACAATATATCTTTTTACGAATGAATAATTTACGATTTCTGTCGCGAAATCGATTCATTCTTCTGTACAGAAAATATACGTTTGATCTCGTTCGTGTTCGAGTAAGAAATGAATACAGAGGATGGAACAGGTGATACGAGCAAATGTCAACATTCTAATCAATTACAAAGATTCTTAGCTCTTTGTTTTGTATTCCCGTGTATTTCCGTTTATATATATATATATATATATATCTACGTGTGTATTGATGGTTAAATAAATCGAACAAATATTTTATTAATAATATGCGATGGTTTATTTCGACGTAGGAAGATTTTCATGATAAAGCATCATCATGTATCTTACAAGTTTAGATAGTTCTGTACAAGTTTTTGAGTCGTATTTATTACAAAGTTGCTTAACGTGTTTATGTGCGCACAATATGTAATCATTACGGTTTACATTTTTCTATTATTAATTGTTATCGATATTTTTTTTTTTTTTCATTTCTTTACTTGCATTTACGATCTAATCCATAATATACATTAGGGTTGTATACACGAAATATACACTCACGATTAAGTATGCATTTTTTTTTAAATTGTTTTTAATGTATTTGCCTTTTTTTTTTTTTTCCTGTTCGGAGACTATTACAACAGCGAAACCTGCTTTTTCTTCGTATTTTTTTCCCTTCCCCCTCCAAAAATGCTACGCGTATTTTTCTTTTTTTTTTTTCCATTTCACTTTATTTCATTTCATTTCATTTCATTTCATTTCATTTCATTTCATTTCATTTTATTTTATTTTATTTTACTTTATTTTACTTTATTTTATTTTATTTTACTTTATTTTATTTTATTTTATTTTATTTTATTTTACTTTAGTTTATTTTATTTTATTTTATTTTATTTTATTTTATTTTATTTTATTTTATTTTATTTTACTTTATTTTATTTTATTTTATTTTATTTTATTTTATTTTATTTTATTTTATTTTATTTTATTTTATTTTATTTTTGCCCGGATTACGTCGAGCGTAGCGCGAAAAAAAACTCAAATTCCAATGAGAAAAAAAGAAAAAAAGAGAGAGAGAGAGAGAGAGAGAGAGAGAGAGAGAGAGATAGAGAAAAAAAGTGAATAAATCGACGAGAACCTTTAAAGAATGGCGTCCACGCATCCACGCAATCTTTCGGGCAAAGTAATTTTTGCAAAGCGAGATCAAACGGATCTCCGAGCTGGTTAGATCTCCGTCGGCTTCTCGATCATCTCTGTTTCCGATCTCTCATGGGTGCGCACACTCTGCTCTTCCTATTTACAACAAACTTCCGGCTACTGGCCGTGCTTGATATGATAATAATTATCGATACAATGCTAATCGTAAGAATAAGAATCATAAAGATAATGCTTAATAATTAATGATAACGGCAGTGGTGAGTATTCGTTCAGCATTGGGGAAAAAAAAAAAAAAAAAGAAAAAAAGCAAACGACACGTTAAATCCGCTCGCGGATTCCTTTCCTCATATTCGATATGCTTGCCCATGCTCTCATCCATCTCGCCGATTGCTATATTTATTTATTTATATATATATATATATAAGGTGTCTGCTCTTTTCTCGAAAATAAAATATCAAAGAACAACGAAACGCGGAATTATTAATGTTTCTCGATCGTCGCGAAAAATAAAAGTAAAGAAAGGAATAAAAAAAGAAACGATTACGCATTTGCGATTTATTACCCCCCCCCCTCTCCCCCCTTCCGTTGACGCACGATTTATCAACGATCAATGCCTTTATGATCTTTAAAGATGATCACCGTTTCGATTGTCTCTGAATTTTAAGTTCGAAGAATATATATATATATATTATCGCACGCGTATTCTCGGTTCTTGCGTATTTTCTCTCTTACGAATGATGAATTCTATGCGTGTGATTTCATTGAGTTCGATTATATTATAATTTTATTACCTCAAAAATATCACCAATCGATTTTACTTATTCCTTAGGAGGATAGCGGAGCGATTGAGAAATCAAATCAACGAAAATACAGTCGGTCGGAATATCGTCGTCCGATCGAAAGAAAGAGTTCATTCGACGGAAACGTTGTTTCGTGTCGTTTCGATGAATTTTATTTGAATTAGAAGAAAGTGACAAAGTTGTTCTTCTTAATCGTTCGTGTGATAAAGAATTCATTCGTTTATCATGGAATCGTATCGAATCGTGTCGTATCAAAATTGTTGCTCGATTATTCCACTCGAACTCGCACTTTGGTGAAATAATCATCCTTCGTTTTCTGTCATGGAGATCATTTGTTAAGAGAGGTACAACTTAGATTCTCTCTCTCTCTACATATATATATATATACGTTTATATTATTTAGGCAGATATTCAAGGCCGACCTAAATACGAAAGACAACGAGGAGTGTATCATAAATTATGGCGAGGCTCGATTTTTTGTACATATTCCTCTTGCAAATACTCACTTATTTATCCATTTATTCTCTCATTCTTCCAAAAAAAAAAAAAAAAACGGAGCCAGTGAAGACTTATCTCTAATTAGTTCGACGACAAATTACCCGAAATTGGCCGCAAAAATTTCATTTCCACGAATCATTTTGAAATGAATCCCATCTTTCATATTATTTCCTTCAATTCTCTTATCGTTATAGGAGCAATAAATTTCCACAAAAAAAAAATTACATTCTATTCAATGCAATCACTACACAAATTGCAATATCATGGTTGGAAGTCCTCTCTGAAGCATACGATGCACATGTATATGTATGACGATATATCCGGGCGCGAAAATTGGCGCGAAAATTCTCTCAGAAACAAAAAAGAAAAAAAAGCGAGGTAAAAGGAGAAGAAAGGAGAAGAAAGACGAGATCGAGGATCCATTCGTACGTTCGTTCTTTCGTTCGATTTCATTTCAATTGTTATCATCGGAATCGATATTACCATTGATCTCGGAGCAATTCGCCGTCGAGTTGAGACGCCAATTGTACGATCCGAGCGCTGTCTCTTGCGCGCGATTGAAGATTCCCGTCGACCTACTACCACTACTACCACTACTGGACCGCTATACCATCGCCTGATACTTTTGATCGGGCAGTATGTAACCGTCAGAGTCGGACGGTGAGGCGGTCATGTCGTTGGGGCCGGACGCGTTCAAATGGTGGCTGGTCAAGTGGGACATGGAGGAGGTGAGCGCCATGTTGTGGTGGTACTGGGGATGGTGATAATTTCCCTGGGGGCTGTGATGCATGTGAGAGATCTGGGTCTGATAATAATCGCCGCTTGTGTACGGGTTCTGGTAGGCATTGTAAGTCTGCCCGGCGTAACATTGGCTCGGGTTCACCGAGCCCGGTGACGCTGAACTCCAAGTGAAACCATACTCGCCGTGATGAATTTGGTTCATCGGTGGGGGGTAAGAAGACGGCGGTAACTGGCTAGAGCCCGGAGTCAAAGGAGGAGACGGGGTGGTGAGGGCGCTGTTTGCCCCGCTACCGCCTGTCGGCGTTACACCCAACCGCGGATAGGTGGATGTCGTCGACAAGAGTGGCGAGTTGGGCCCGGGCGCCTCTTTGCCCCGTGGCGGAGAGACGGGCGAGGAACGTCTGCTCGGCGTCGCGGTCGAGCTCGTCGACATCTTGTTGCCGTTGCTCGAGTTGCTCTGCGCCTGGCTCGACCTTGGCGACCCTTTCGAGGGCGAGGCTTGCTGCTGTTGCTGCTGCTGCTGTTGCTGCTGCTGCTGCTGCAACTGTTGCCTGCACTTCGCCCGCCGATTCTTGAACCAGACCTGTGAAAACAAAAGGGGGAAGAAAAGGAAGATGGATTAAGTCTCGATCGAAATAATAATCTCGAGTGCGTCCACGACGCGCTTCGACGTATTCGCTTTCCACGCTTTCCTTCTTCTCGAGCGAGTTTCGAATCGAGTTTCCGTGGGTCGGCGATACGAAACGTATCGTAGCGTAGCGTAGAGGGTAGTATCTCGGTAGTGGGGCGGTAGCTTCTCTTTCGCGAGGGATCGCCCGAAAAGAAAAGGTGTCCCGCCACGAGGGATGGAGGAAGAACCGTTGGCAACCGTGGGGAGAGTTAATCGGTGCAATGGGAAAGTAATCGCGGGCGGGCGGCCGTAACATTTCATTAAATCGTAACAATAACAACGAAGAGGGGAGAGAGGAGGGGGGAGAAGGTAGAGAAGAGTTCAGGGGCTTTTATACGCTTTTATACGTGTATACGAAAGTTTTACACGCTCGCGCGTTTTCGTATACGTGTGTACTATCCCCCGGGATATTCACTTTGCCGAACGGTGTTTGCTAGAATGCGCGAATTAAAATCTATCGTATATACATATATATATATATATGTATATACATATGCACAACGATTTCTATTACTTCGTCGAATAATTTATCGAAAAACGCGTTCATCGTCGTAACGCGAATGTAATAACGCGCAGGAGGCTCGTGATACAAAAACGCTTTAAACGAAATTGGACTGAGTAGTGCCGCTGCCCTACTAGAAAGGAAAGAAGGAGACCTTCTTTCTCCCCTGCCTTTCTGCCAAGAGACAAGGATACTGCCGAGCATGGACAAAAAAAAAAGAAAAAAAGTATCCCCCGTAGTAGGCCGCAAGTTTCGCTCTCCACGCAGACTTTCCCCCTCTTTCACTCCCCCTCACGCACCCTCTGTAATCCGGGCACACAATGTGGCCAGGGGTGCGATCCTATGAATCTATGCCCGTGCCTTTAAAAGCAAGATCCGCCTTTATTGTTGTTATTATCGGCCAGTATTGTAACAGTTGTTACGAAGAACGCGAATCGTCCAACCGTGTACCGGGATTTCCAGTCGCCATGAATCCAGTCGCGCTGAGTTGGGTCGAGTTGAGAACGGAAGGGAAAAGTATGGTCGCCTCTCGATCTCGTCGACAATACACACACACACACACATATATATATATGGGGTTGAACGAGAGAAGTTGAACGTGAACGAAGCGCGAAAAATTCGAAATCGAAAATTCCGAACGAATCGACCATCGTCGATGAGATAAGATAAGATAAGAGAGAAACCGTTCCTCCACTTTGTATCGGTCGATGGACGGATTCTCGTTTCGCGACCCTCGTAGAGGCGAAGGGGTGCGAATATTCGCGCGATATTGCGCGATATCAACCGCAAGAGGAATGATCGTGACGAGAGGAAGGAGGAGATCTCGAAGGGGACGAAGAGAGAGAGAGAGAGAGAGAGAGAGAAAACGCCCATTACCGCTCCGTGTTTGCACAACGACACCCCTCTCCCTTCCCTCCTCCCCTCCCTCCTCCCTCCCCAGGAACAACACACAACTCGCAGCTACCCCAAAAACCAACTGAACGGGTCCTGGTGCCATCCCCGGTGGAAGCCCTCGGGGTGAACCACAGTCAGTTTCTCTCCACTACTCTGTGTATCGATGGCTAGGTGTAAATTGCATCACCATCTGGTTAGCATCCAACATGGAAAACCAACCCATTTACCACTGGGCTGGAGCAGCTGCGTTGACATTTTCGTTATGACAAATATATTTTCTTATTTGCGCTATTAATATATATATATATATATATATACGCGTTATATTACAACAAGAACGAAAAGATATTATTAAGAGATAATACGCGTAATTCGTCTGTTGGAGAACATTGGAATACTGAGAATTGTACGATGCCTGCATCATTCGTGTCTACGATAATTTTTAATTTATCGTAGAGCGAGTGGAGATCGGAACGGTTACGGATATTTTTTTCGCGATATTGAAGATTATCGTGGAAGCGGAATTTAATACGAGAATAAATTCGTAAGGTAAACCTGTTCGCGAGGAGAACAGTTTATCGCCCTCCCATCCCTGTCGGATGGTAGTAGCGATGGTAGTAGCCGGATAGGCTCGTCTCTTTTTCACCGAGAAAAATAACGTTTTGACGCGCTCCTCGATCGTAAATGATGGACGAACGACCTGGCGCATTCAAACGTAGCAAACATCGCGCGCAGCTGTGTCGTTCTCTCGCAGAGAGGACAGGCGTATAGAAACTCGCGAGCGAGATAGAACGAAGGGCTATAATCCAGGAACAAATCAACTATATGTTGTGTTCCATACATCGTGCTTCTGTGTTCCACCTAACACACCTCTACCCCCCTCCCCTATGGTATAGATAACTCTGTACAGAATATACAACTCTCTCTCTCCCCTCTCCTCTCCTTCTCCCTCGAAAACTTTTAGATCCCCTCCCTCCTCCCTTATCCACCTCTCCCCTTCGATATTATTCGTTCACGTGCACGATGTATATATTCGTGTGACGTATATATAATATATATATATATATATATATGTATCACACCCTTTAGCAGTTGCGCCTTCATTCACCTCGAAGGCTTAACTTCGCGTGGAAACTCCGTGGAATTTCCGGAGTCACGGTTCGTCCTCGAAATCTCGATAAATCGAGACGCGAAATCCTTCCCAATCGAGAGGTCACTTTAATCGAGCTCGATGACTTTCGACCTTATTCCACAAGATGCTCTTGATTTATATCTTATTTACTACGCTACACTGCACAAATTCAAACGTTTCTCCATCGAATCAGGAACACGCGATTAAAAGTGGCGTTTCGCGAATCTCGAGGAAGGGGGACGATGGAATGGCGTTTCGCGATCGCTCTACACATTCCCGTGACTCGAGGAGCATAAAGATATAAAGATGTTACGAGGACCGCAATAAAAGCGTCAACGAGCTCGTCTATCAATGTACAGCCACGGGTGGGACAATGGCGGAAAGCGGAGGGACGTAGGGCGCGACACCGCGTTGTGTAAATACCTTAAATCTCGTCCATGCTTGCCGAAGCACGAAACACTCCCATTCCCCCTCTGTCCCTCTCCTACTCGTTACTATCGCTCGACCGAGATTGTCACTGTCGTTTCTCCCGTGACTTGTTGGATAGGGTAATCCGTACGCGACGAATAAAGCCGACGATTTCCTCTTTTCGGCTTTCCCGCGGAATCGATTTTTTTCGTCGTCGTGGATAATAATAACGATTCGTTCGAAAGGAAAGAAGAAAGGAAGGAAGGAAGGAAGGAAAAAAGGAAGAGGAGTGAATAAATAAAGAGGAGAAGGAGAAGGAAGAAGAAGTGGGGGAAAATATAAATTCACCTGAACTCGTGATTCCGGCAGATTAATTTTCAATGCAACTTCTTCTCGCATGAAGATGTCCGGGTACCTAGTTTTCGTAAACAGTCCTTCCAACACGTCTAATTGCGCTCTGGTGAACGTTGTTCTCTCTCTGCGCTGTTTCCGCTGGTTCATCCCTGAAACACGAAAAATCGAAGCGAATTAGAAAGAAATTCCGCGACTCGAACGAATTTTAATCGAATTTTAAATGCACGCGTGACTCTCGCGCGTCGTGATTTTTTGGACTGATTGCCAACAATTTTTCTTCTCTCTCTCTCTCTCTCTCTCTCTCTCTCTCTCTCTCTCTCTC